GTGTGTGTGTGTGTGTGTGTGTGTGTGTGTGTGTGTGTGTGTGTGTGTGTGTGTGTGTGTGTGTGTGTGTGTGTGTGTGTGTGTGTGTGTGTGTGTAATATATATATATATATATATATATATATATATATATATATATATATATATATATATATATATATATATATATATATATATATATATATATATATATATAATATATATATATATATATATATATAATATATATATATATATATATATATATATATATATATATATATATATATATATATATATATATATATATATATATATATATATATATATATATATATAGCATACTACATATATGTATACATACTTATATGTGTGTTGTCCGTGTGTATGTGTGTGTGTCTGTGATAATGACAATATTGATAACAATAATGATAATGATTAACAATGATAACAATAATGACAATAATAGATAATAACAAAAATATAATTATAATTTTTTACTATTGTTAACATTATTATCATCATTATCGTTACTATTATTATTATTTTATTATTATTATTATTATTATTATTATTATTATCATTATCATCATATTATTATCATTATCATGATTATTATTATTATGATTATCATTATCATTACATAGGGAGCGATAAGATAATAATGAAAATTATTAGTGTCATCATTACTATTTATCATTACTATTGTCTTATCATTATTGTAGTTAATAATAACGATGATGATGATGATAATGATAATGATCAAAATGATATCTTTATTATCACTATCATCATTATCCTTATTATTATTGCTATTATTGATATTGCTTATATTTGCAGTTGTCATTATTATCACTATAGTTATTATCACTATTGTCATTATTATCGTTATTATTATCGTCATTATTATCGTAATTATTGTTATTGTTGTTGTTGTTGTTGTTGTTATCATTATCATCATGGTAAATAGTAATGATGATGATAATGATAATGATGATGATGAAGAAAATGATAATTATTATCGTAATGATTATCGTGATAATATTCATAATGATAATAATAATAATTATAATTATAATGATAAAGATAGTATGAATAATACCAATAATAACCATTGCAATAATATTGATAATGTTAATAATAATAATAATAATGATGATAGTAACAATAACCGCAATTATAAGCAATATTAATTGTTAAAGTAATGATAACAATGATAAACTATGAAAATAACAATAATGATGATAATAACGATAATAATAATAACAATGATCAGCATTAAGATGATGATATTAGCCACAAAATTAAGAATAAAGATATAAAAGGAATAAAATCAAGAAACAAATGTAGTCCAATAAAACAAATATATATTTATACCAAGCAAACTCACATGCTTTCTCGAAACCGTTTTGCTGCCTCTAAGTGTGCGTGCAGGGTGTATTGTATAACTAAGTGTGAGGGTATGTTTGTGGGTTATGCGTACGCTTGTAATAAGTAGTTATCTTTCTATTTATGCGTGTAAATGAACGTGTGCTTATGTGTGTTCCTACGCCCAAATACACTGGTTCATGTCCCAGGGGAACCAAGTACTCTGTAACTTTGCCGCGTTTGGCTCCCCTTGCAAACAGTTCCAAGTTTGATGCCAGAAAAAGGTCTTTCCGTTTGTTTTTTCCCGCTATGGGCGTCTCACTCCAAAATTCCATGATGCTCATTCTGACCAATGCTGCCGCGTTTGATCCAACGACACCCCACCATGCTACATCACCAACATAATATCTCATCAAGCTTTGTCCCATTAAAAACCGTCGTCGTTCACCCCCACCATAGTTGATCTATTCTTTGTCCTCTTAAGAACATCACCATGCTCAGTTACATGCCACCCCTCCCCCCTTTTTAAATACCGCCATGCTGAGCCCTGTAAGCTTTCATGGCGGTCCCTCTCCTCAGGGACTCTCAGGATGCTCAGTATCATAAGCTCGATGCTCAGTTTTCTGACAATTCCTCATTTTCATAGAACATAAAAATTAAAAAAAGAGTCACTGCTCCATTCCACTTAATATCCCGACATGCTGTTGTCCAGACAGAGAGAGAGAGAGAGAGAGAGACAGAGAGAGAGAGAGAGAGAGAGAGAGAGAGAGAGAGAGAGAGAGAGAGAGAGAGAGAGAGAGAGAGAGAGAGAGAGAGAGAGAGAGAGAGAGACAGAGAGAGAGAGAGAGAGAGAGAGAGAGAGAGAGAGAGAGAGAGAGAGAGAGAGAGAGAGAGAGAGAGAGAGAGAGAGAGAGAGAGAGAGAGAGAGAGAGAGAGAGAGAGAGAGAGAGAGAGAGAGAGAGAGAGAGAGAGAGAGAGAGAGAGACAGAGAGAGAGAGAGAGAGAGAGAGAAGAGAGAGAGAGAGAACCTTTTCAAAAAATGGTTCCTCCAAAGTCACCTCATGCTCATCTCCAAAAAGACATGCCATGCTCCGTGTCCTAGGATTCAGTTAGTCCCTCTACGTTTAATCCTCATGGAATCCTGCAGTGTTTAGTCCCCTTAAGTCCCAGCAAGTTTTGTCTGTCCCATTATTCCTTCGATGGTACAAGGACTCTTACAGCTTTCTAAACCCTGGTGTCATATATTCTATATTCAGTCCCATTAAAATGAAATCATGGTCACTCACCTCAACATCCACGTGAGTTAAGAACACCCACCGCTCCCTGTCCTTTTAAAAACTACTTCCCTCTTGAGTCCATTGTGGATATGTGTGAAACGATAGAATTTTTATTACGTATTTCTTTTGACCTCCTTAGGTTGCCGCTGTCATTCTGTGTCCTTGTTCGAGACCCACTGAGGTGCCAGATAACAGATTACTTTTATTTTGTGTATATGTGTACTTTGGTGTTTTCTTGAAGGTTTATGTGTGGCTATATGTATTATGTGCAAAATGTTGTACCTGTTATTGGATTGGATAAAAAGTAGGGAAGATGTCTTCTAAATATCAGTAATTTGATAACAACATAATGCTGATGATGATGGTGATGATGAATTAATAATAATATCAATAATTATAATAGCAATGAAAGTGATAATGATAATTATAGTAATAATAACAATAGTAATAATGTTAGTAATAGTAATAATAACAATAGTAATAATATTAGTAATAATGATAATAATAATGATAATAATAATGATAGTAATAATGAGGATAAAAATAATGGCAATAATGATAACAACAATGATGATAATAATAAAATAATAATGATAGCAACAACAATATGATGATAATAACAATAATGATAGCAACGACGATAATAATAATAGTATTGATAACGACAATAATAATAATAATATTGATAACGACAATAATAATAATGATAATAATAATAATAATAATAATAATAATAACAATAATAATAATAATGATGATAATATATAATAGTAATAATAATAACAATAATAATAATAATGATGATAATAATGACAGTTAACACTACTGCTCTGCTCCGCTGATCTGTTCTCGAGACCGAAAAAACCTGCCCAGCGTCCAGCCCTTGACCTGGCCCCTTGCCCTGACCTCCGCCATGAGAGGTCAAGGAACGCGTCCGTCGCAGGAGACCCATTCCTTG